TCAGGTGAAGGACTTAAATCATAAAGAACTCCTGGCACATCGTGGTGGTACTGTTAATAAATTATAATTAATTAAACACTCAAACCGCAGTAATAAATCAAAATTAAACAAAGAATTAACCATTTAAATGTTTTGTAATGTATGGTGAGTTGTATTCCCCTTAATTAATGGAAAGCAGACTTGTTCGGGTAGTTTTCAGTGTCTATCCAAAGTTTTCTAATGCCATTAAGTTTTCCGGTAGGAAAGTTTTTATTCCAATATTGGTCCACTGTGCCCGCCTTGGGCTCTGCTCTTCCCTGCTCTTGAAAATCAACGATCCGAGTCAGCCCATTAACGCTCCTGGCTATCTGATCCATCCGAGTATGCAGATGTGGGTGTTGGCCTGGCTTTCTATTTGCTTGTTTGTATTGGTCTTGGTGTTTGCCCGGCCACGTATTCGCGTTTTAGTGTTATCTGGGCGTCGACATCAGTGGCGCGTAACGCGTGGCGCGAATTTTTCAGCCCAACCCAATGCGCCAAAAACAGTTTGGCCGAAAAGCAGCAGCGAGGCCAAAACAAACTGCGACCGTCAAGAGTCGAGTTCATTGCGTTGTTGCAGTGGCTCTGGGTCAAAAGATGGCGATGAGAGTGCCGGCGGGGGCACGGCGGTACTTTGGAGGCCGCACCAGGGACCGCAGTCAAAATGGCAATTTATCATTTTGTATTTAAGCGCGGGGCAGGTGAGAGTGGGGTCTAGAGCCAAACGGAAAACCAAATGAAAAACCAAACCAAACTAAACCGAACCAAGTGAAATGAAATGAAATGAAAGGCGGCATGTGGGCCACGTATTTTTAGATACTAACAAGTGATAAAAGCCAACCACGTACCACCCATCACACACTCACCGACACACCTAAACAGACTTGGTCGGAAGGATGGATAGATGGATGGATGGATGGACGGATGGATGGCTGGTTGGTTGGATGGAAGGCTGTGATGACTGACGAACTGAGGAACTGACTGACACCTACTGCAGGCAAAGGCTGACTCGGCATTCCTTAACTGCGTATCCATCAATGTCGTAGCCTGTCGTCCTTCTGCCCCTTTCTTCTTCCTTGCCACCCGATCCGGCTGCTCCTTTCCAAATTGCTGCTGCTGACGTGCCTGCATTAAACCTATACAAAGAAGCGGAGAGCGGCAGGCAGCACAAAAAAATTGAAAGCCTTTTATAGGCAACACACATGCTCAGTCTATCCTATCAAAACATTGAAAAAAATATGGCAATAGCGGTCGCAGAAGCAATAATTTTTATTATATTTATTTTTATGGTCAGCAGATAGACTTGAAATCATATTTTGTTAGAAGCTTAAATTCAAGTACTTTAGTTTACATTTAATTTTCTAAAAGATTCTAAAGTAAAAAGAACAAAAGGTTAATTTTTAGGAGCATATGTACTCTCTTTAATACATTTTGTATTATATATTTACTTAGATTAAAGTAAACACCCGTTTTTTTGGGTGTATCAGCCATTTGATATCAGCCAGCTTTCATCACCCAGGCACTCCCAATCTACTCCATCCAAAGTTAGCCAAGCAGAAGCTGCTAAATTTTTTGGCAATTCAATTGACGAACCCCAGAGGCGTTTGCTTTTAAATGCTCCACTTGGCTCCTGCTTCCTGTGTCTGTTTCAGCCGCTTGCTCCTGTCGGGGCTTCTGTCGTGGCTCCTGTATCCTGTTGGCTCCTTGGCGGGATGCGTGGTTTATTAGCTGATCCCATCGTCTCGACAAGCTACTTTTGACACGCCCACCGTCGAAACACCAAAATACAGGAAGTCTTAGGCGGTAATTTACTTTTCAGCGCTCTGCTGGCAAATTATGCAAGACTTTCCCCGCTTTCTGGCTTCTCCCACTGCCGGCGAATCACCCTCTTCTGGCTGGCATCCCCTTCCGCTCCTGTCTCTGGTATCCTGTCTGTTGAATTATTGTGGCAGCTTAAAGTTTTCCTCTTTTTCGGTTCACGCAAAGAGCATTAGAAGTTGTAAAGTGCTTTGGGAATACTTTGCTTCTATGAAAATTGTTAACAACAAGTTCAATCTTGGGTCTCGCCTACCTGATTAGGCCCATTCTTTGAATTGTCAAACAGGAAGTGGAAATTAAATTGTATTAATTATTTCTATGTAAGTGCAATGTACACACAGAAAGTGGATGAGTACTATAAGAAATTTAAAACTTTACAAAAGTGTCCTTCAAAAGCAAAAGCAATTGGTCTAACCTCTCAATCTGTGTAGCATCACACAGTTTGGCGACCATCAAAATCTATTGGGGGCAAACTTGAAATCTGTTCCGTGTCTGAATTGAAATTTTAACCTGCTGAGTCGACATCCCCCTCCTGCGGAAAAGAACTCACCATTATCCTGGCTCACCTTTAGCAGTCAGACTCATAATCGGGACACGTGCTGTCTTCGTTATTTCTCTCGTTTTTCTTTGCTTGGCTTTCATTTACGGAACTTTGGCTTTAGCCCCCTCGACTTCGTCTATATCTCCGACCATGATTCTTCAAATTGTCAAAGTTTTTTCTCCCCCCAGTCACCATTATTTTTTTTTTTTGTTTCCTTTTGGTGGGGCTAACTACTTTGCCGCTTTTTGTCGGCTTTTATGGATGCTCTTTATTTAGTCAATGACTTTGACGTCGACAACTTTAATCGAAAGCAATCCCAGGCCCCTCAATCCTCAATAGTATTCCCGTTCTCCGGTGCAAGTGCCAGAGCCAAATCCAGTGCCAGTGCCAGGACTCGGATTTGAGGTGAGGTGTGCGCACGCGTTTCGCTTAATGCCGCGTAAATTGTTTCGCAGCCAAAGTTTGCACATTTCGCGTTATCCGCCATTTACATATTAACCCGAAACTCGAAACCCAAAAACCCAGAGCCATGAGCCCAAAGCCTCCCAGGAGAGCTGCCGTCCAAAAATAGTTTTCAATTAGTGCGTTTCAGGGCGCCGCTTTCTCAGGCTTCCGTTTGTATTTTTCCCAGGAGAGCCGGGCCCAAGGAGGTCCGACTGGCAAGTGGAAGTTATACTTAAGTTTATTTTGGTAAACTTTCTGCCGAGCTCAGCGAAATTATGCGCATTTTTATCGTTGCCGGCATTTTGTTCATGTTTATGTTTGTTTATCTCTGGCCAAAAGTTATTGGCCAAATTAAACCGAAAAGTTGTTATTATTGTATCTGTGTATCCGCACTTTGTTGGCAATTTAAAGCGATATTCGCCGATCAATTTGCAGCCTTCGACTCGGCCTGCTTCTGACTTTGCCTTTTTCACATAAATCATGGGTAATATTTTTTATTTTATTGGGGCCTTTTGTACCTTATGCGACCAACATATTGTGCATAAATCTTTAATATTAAGTAAACACACATCTACATTCGTGTCTAAATTTAAATTTATCGCCTGCTGCGCATTAGTTGTACTAGGAAAAAGGAGCAAGCCGGGAAAGGAGGAGACCCAGTGGCAGGACACATTGTTGGGAGCTTAGTTGGGTAGCTCTGGATGAAATAGGACTAAAAGTTAAATGGAAATCTATGGCTTTGCGGCTTACCGGGTGGGCGACTCGACTGCCGGGAAAGGGGTTCCACCGGACAGATGGAAAATGGAAATATTATAAGCTGCAGGTAAAATGTATGCAGCAAGAGGACTTATTTCTTATTTTGTGTAAAACCAAACTCAAATAAAAGAAACCAAAGAGTGTAGGGCTTAAAAACTAAACTCTGAAAAGGCGAATTATTAAAGGGAAATAATAGAAAGCATGGGTAAGGGTTGGTTGCGGAAAAAAGGATAGGACTGAGTTACCTTGTTAACTTGAATGAAAAGTTGACACTTGAGTTTTGGGAATCAGGCAACGCAATTGGCCTTGTTAGCCGGGCAACCCAATACGCAACTGTACTTACCCCGCCATCAGATCCTTCAGCTTATACCTTTACTAACTTGACGCTTTTGAAAACGCTCTCACATATCCCCAGCAATCAACGGAGACTTGTGACGTGCCGGGAGGCCCGCATTTCGAGGCTAAATGTCGAAAACTTTCACATTTACCTCTCGGTGTCCCGCCATTAATTCCCGGCCCCCAAGAACTGGCAAGAAGTAATAGTGAGCAGTGCGAAAACTCTTCATATACAGATAAAAAAAAATTATTTAAATTATTTTTAAGAAGCTTGTATGGGAAGCTTGTAAAAAAATGTTCTACTCGTAAAAGGGAATCGTGTCACTTTTAAGAGGAATGATTAGTTAAGTTTACTTAAAATTTATTTTATTTATTTATCCAAGTGGCTTTCAATAAATATAAACAGCATTGCAGTGTAAAATGCTCACTTTGTTGATTAGGAAAAAACGCCACCAGGTAATCGTCTGCGGGCGCCACCACAAAAGCCTGGCAGTGGAATGGCGGCTGGGCATAAAAAGTGGGTGCAAGCGCTCGGTGAAAATCAAATAAATAAAATAAACCACAAGATGACGTCGTCGCCATGACAATGGCCTGGCCAAAAGATGGGTATAGGTGCGGGCGGTGGGCAGCAACGTTGTTTATTCGATAAATCTATGGGAAGGCAAGCGTTTGGCCATCGAAACGAGCAGAACCGCGAAGCGAGGGCAGCTTTTCAGCGACTCAGTAACTGGCTAGCGTTCAAGCTGAGCGGGCTAAGCCGGGCCCCAAACAACGTAAAGGAGCAAGTGAGATAGTAAGTGAAAACAGAAGATAGATACACGCAAAAAAAAAATTATACAAAAAATTAAGACTAATTTAAAATAATATAAAAATAGGAAAGTAACTAGTTTAATGATTTTGTTATAATTAAATGCATACATAATAATTTTTAAAAAACATTATTATATTTGATTGTTTGAAGCAAAAGTTTTTCTTTGTGTAGAGTATGAAAGGAGCTGGCAGGAAGAATGTTTTCCTTAGTGTTTACGTGTGTGTGTGGGTGTATCTGTGTGTTTGTTATTATTGATGGCTTCACTTTAACTTGCAGCTGGCTGCGGGAGCTTCATTAAGTGAGAGTTGGTTGTTGGCTGTTGGATTTGTTGGCTTTGTTTGAACGTTGGCAACATCGTCTCCGTTATGGATTCACCTACACCGCCAATTGTCATCGAAGATTCAAACGGTTCAGCAATGGACGCCTGCTTCACGGCATTCGACAAAGATGGGTGAGTACAAACAAAAAAAAAAACAACAACGAATAAAGATTCTCAATAAAAATCAAATCATAATAAATAATATAAATTAATAGTTGAATTACGTAATTTCAAATAAATCTTCTGTCAATTCTTGCTATAATTTCCATTTTGCTTTTTTAATTATATAATTAACGTTCTAATTTTATGTATGTCCAAGGCCTATTTAAACAATTTCTCCCCAAACCGCAGATTGGATTATTTGGTGAACAAATAAACAAATGGCGGAGCTCATTTGATATTCAAAGCATATTTAACACCGTTTAAATAAATAAATCGCTACACTTGAACGAATTAAATGTTTTAATTTTCATTTGATAAATGGAAAACGAATGTATTTTGTTTTGAAGCACGCATTCAACCAATTTGAAAAATTTTTATTTTGAAAGTTGTTAATTTATGCAAATAGCAATTGAATAATAATAAAAAGCCAGGCGATAAACTACGGATAAAATAAAATAATACTAATTTAAATGCTAGAACTTTATTCTATTTAAAATTTAAGCGATGCAAACGCTATTTTTCAAATTTTTCAAATTTTCAAATTTCCAAAAGCTTTCCTTTATTATTTGACAATGTTAATAAGATTAAGTGAACTTTAAGAATGAACACTGATTTATTTCTTATATCCTTTGCCTAATCTTTCCAACACATCTTCCGTTGTTTTCCTTCTAATCCCCGAAGCGATGACCGCCTCAATCTGTCTGAGTTTTCGATAATATGTCGGGCCCTGTTCCGGAATGACAAGGGACATATCTACGACGTGCCGCCGGAACGCCTAGAGCAGATATTCGCCGTTTTCGATACGAATGGCGATGGCTTCATAGACCGGGAGGAGTTTAAATTCTGCTGGAATCAATGGATAAAAACGGTAAGCCGATGTGATCCACAAAGTACCCCAACCGGAGTTTGTATTCATTTCATTTTCGGTCTCTTTTGCACTATTTATGAATTCTTGTTTTGCGGTTAACTTTTTGCGTTATTCACTGATTCATATCCGGGGACTCGTAAAATCATAAAAAATGTGATAATAAAATATTTGTCAACATGTTTCCCTTCCCGCCCCCACACACACGCAGCCTGGCAGTCGTGTGAATACTACGAAGCTAAAATTTGCAATCAAAGTGGCCGAGTACTCAGATTGTGTGTGTAATTCAATCCTGATCAGTCCCAGTCCCAATCCCGGTCCCAGTCCCAGTCTGGGACTTGGTAGGGGGGGATTTGTGGGTATGGCTGGGCGGGAGTATGGGGTATGGGCAACGGTAAAATGTCGCTAACAGCGAATGTCACACGTCATGGGGCTTCCGTGTGTGTATAGGGATTGCTTTCATCATCATTTCCACTCCGCATTTCGTATTTTGTATTTCGTATTTCGCATTCGCAACGCGGCCCATCCCCATTTCCACTACCGCATCCACATTCACATCCACTACCATTTCCATTTCCACTTACACTTCCATCCTCATCATCACCGCTGGTCTGTCACAAGAGAGAAGAATCAGCAGCAGTCGTCGGCGGGGATGGCGGCGGCGGCATATGCAAATGTGATAATCCGATGCTGGGGCCTCCCACAGATACTCCCGAAACTCAGACAAACCCAAAGATACAGACTTACACTCACAGTGGCCAGACTCCGCACGTAAAGTGATAAAAACGCGTGACAAATAAAATGCCACAGATCCGGGGCGGGGGTTGGAAAAATGTCCTGAGCATTTGGGGAGCTGCGGAAAATGGGCAGACGGCGGGCCACTGCATTCAAGACTTTCCCGCATATTAAAATACGAGTAGAAATGAACAAGGAGGAAAAAATTCAAATAATTTTATTGTTGTGGACTATGACTTTTGTACATCCACCATCCTCCATCCTGGCCGCTCGCAACTTTGTTTGCCACAGTCACTGCCATGAAATTGTGTACGTGATTGCACCAATTTGCAAAGACTACTTTATCTCCATGCCTTGCATTAAGTTATTTAATTTGTTTTGTCTCGGCAACTAAAAGTTCAGAAGGAAACATTTTGGTTGATAAAAACATTTTTCCAACAATTTGACTATGAAAATATTTGAAGAATGCTTAGAGAACAAGATTGCCACTTAATGTACATATAAGTGTAAAAATATACCGATGTAATTGTTTTATACTTTATTTTTTAATATTCAAAATAATCTTTTAATACAAGAATATTTAAAAATACATTTCCTAAAGATAAAAACCCCATTAAACTTCCTAATAATAAACTGAAAATCTTGGTATTTAAATAGATTGTGTTTTATGACGTTCTGCTTGAACTCTTAAATATTTAAAGCCTATTTTTAGGGGCTTATGTCCTGCTATGGTAAGCCGGCACTGTGTTTATTTATTTATTCCTCCCTTGCAACGGCATCAATTTTGATGACCTGTCTGCTTCGCTTCTCACATCCTCGGAGCGGGAAGCTACACCCATATTCATATTACCCCTATTACGTATACGCAGTGCTGTCAGCTTATATGTTATGTTGCCTGTTGAGTCCTGCCCACCATTGTCACGCGACAAATTATTTTCGAAGCGGGAAAAAAGAATAATCATTTTATTTTTGATATGCCATTTACGCCGCCTCCATGGCCCGCCCCTTCCGACTCCTCTCTCACCAAATTGTGTAATATTGTATAAAAAATTTATTAACGTATAAAAAAAAAGCAGAGCGAATGAAATCTTCCGGCAGCTGATATTGTAATAACGGCAACACTTAAAAAAATGACAGCCCCTAACAAAACCCTACTTACTCCCCACTTACGGTAACAGTTTTGGCACAAAAAAAAAATTGAAAACAGAAGAATAAATAAATAAATATAAATACGTATAAAAAAAAAGTCGGCAAGCGGCAAGAAAAGGAAAAATGCTACCCCATAAAATTGACTTTTGTTTGTATTTCCGCATGAATTGCATAAATGGTAATTTTGCAGTTTAATGTTTGCGTGAAGCGCTGGAGGGGGAAATCAGAAAGAGAAACGCAGCGCCGAAAAAAGGAAAAACAACAAACAAACCGAAAAATTTGCATAATAAACAAATCAACTGATGGATGAAAGCACGAGGGATAGAGAGGGACTATGAGATAGATAGAGGGACAGCTACAGCGATTCAAGCTTAGAATTATGAGACTGAAACTTTGGCACACACAGACACAAATTAAATAAACGCATAAATAGAACATTAACGCCATAAATCATTTGCATTGGTCGCTAAATATTTTGCGGCTCCTGCGGCTGTCTGGCTGTATCCTCCGCATCTGTACGTCTGTCTATATCTGTATCTGTGTCGGGGTAACAGTATCTGTATTTGTATCCGTGGAGGTTACTGGGCGGGCTTGTTTGGGGATTGCATATTGAAATCGATTGAAGTTGCGGAAACGGAAATGGAAATGAAAGCAAATTTATGGAAATAATATGACCGAAGGCCCGTCGAATGGCGCGTGTCCAGAATTCATTTCAATGGACAATAAAAGGTAGTCTCTCGCGCACAATTATTATTTACCCCAAAAAATTTGTGATTTATCCACATAATTCAATCTGACGCATTTATGTTTTGATGTTTTTATTGTGTTTGCATTTCGTATGGGTTTGGTTTCGGCATTTGGCCCAAGAGTGCGTAATTTATGTGCTTAAATGTGCAGAAAATCCTTTTTTAACCAACTGCATGGGACAACACCGGTCTGGCTGGGGGTACTGAGGTGGTCTTAATGCCAAGTTGCCTCGAGCGTAAAATACTGCGGCTTTCACATTTCTGCGAAACAACGAAAGCGCCACGATTTTGACGAGGGACAAGCTCCCCAAGCCGTGGGGCAGGGTTCGAATCTGGGCTTTGGGTCCCTTTCTTGTGTCCTCGCTGGCTACATAATATACTTAAAATACTAATTGACAAAGGTGAAAGGACCTACGGTACAATACGGTACAGTTTTCCTGATAAACTCGCTGGTCTGGCACTTTATTTAATGCGAATCTATTTCTTTTGTTTATGCCTTCCTTTGACATTTCGGGTCCCAGTCAATTGACTGCAAGGACCATTCTTTTCATGTATACAACAAGTACATACCAGGGACTTTCCACAAACTGCTCTTTCCCTCATTTCCTACACATTTCTTTTTTGGCTTTTTTCTCCGTAAATATTTCATTTCTTTAAACTGCTTTTATTTCTCGTGTAATAAATTTATGGGAGCCTCACCTGCTTGCTCGTTTTCTCCCTTGTGCTACATATCACGGGGTCTGTGCGAGTCTCTGCGAGTGTGGATGGGCGTATGTAGTGGGTGTGGCAGCCATATATCATACACGGCATCATCATATAGTTCATTGAACCCCCTGGCCATAAAGCGACTCAAAAATCTTCAACAGCTTTAAGTGTCTTACAATGTCTACCGTTAATCTTGGCCCTCGCACACAAAATCACATTAATACACGCATACATATAGAAGACTATATATATATCTAGAGAGTATGTCGTTTATAATGTCTTCATTTATGGCAGAAAATGTGGCACATTTTTTTGTGCTCAGTTACGCACCAACACCGAAAAAGACACGGCGAGAGATGAGCATTTTGTCCTCTATCTCGGCGGGCAGGAGAATTACAGTGAGTGCCAAAAGTCGCCTTACAACTTCTCTGCTCATCGAGCGGAAAATAATATCGTGCTATAAATTTCGCTCAGTTTTTCCTCCTCCTTTGCCGCCAGTGAGCTTAATTTTTGTCGCTGGCTGCTCGCTACTTGCTGGCTTTCTCCCCTGACGGCCTCACCTCACAATTTAGTCCGACTGATGAAAGTTTAACGACCAAAGTTGACACGCTGCGGCGATTATTTAGAAAGTTAATGACTTATAACATACCCCGAAAAAAGTCCCAGGAAATGAACAGAAAGCGTGAAGCTGTGCCCGAGGGTCCAGCCAGGACGGCAAAAACACAGCCGGATGACCGTTGGGGGGAAGCTGAATTCATTGATTTAGTGACCAGTCTGAGAGTTGGTTTTAGTTGATTGGACTTTATTGAAAAATGAGTCGCCATTTCTTAAGCTCTTGAACGGGAAGCAGCGAAAAAAGGCGATAAATGGTAGGTTAACTAGGTGGTCCTACTGCTACCTCTGCAATGGCATGTAAATTTACCCAAAATTGAGAGCCTGTCATTTATTTTCTTGTCAGCCAACTGACCGACGCTTTGTTTAAATTCGATTTCCGATATTAGGTGGCTATTTAAAATAATTCCTGTTATAAATCATCCAAGAACATTTAGTGATTAAGGTGCGTCTTTATAAGATGTTGGAGAATGGAGAGGACTATACCAACTCCAGAAGAATGCCAATAAGCATATTTGTGGATGTGCTTAGTGAAGTATTTTCTCTAACTTTTCCAGTTTTTAAAAAGCAATGAATTTAGAGCGATGGATTTCAATATTTTCGGCCTCAGTGATTGCAAATAAGCGAAACCCAAAACAACGTTAACATATTCAAAGTCTTATAACCCAACCATTCTTTTGGAAAAACCTTTTCAAACTTTTGCCTTAATCGAAATCGGCTCAAGCAAAACAATTCCACCACGAACAGTAAGTTCTGGGGCACCTTACCACCCAAATAACTCCGCAAAAGTTCCGTGCGCTTATTTATAGTTAGTTTTCATTTCTTTTGGCGGTGGCAATTTCCACCTTCGTCCCTAGCAGCTTTAGCTGGAAACTCCTTCAAAAGCTGGAAAGCAGCCCGTCTGGCAGCCGCATAAATTGTATAATGTAATTTTCCAGCAACTGTCAGACCCAGCCCGGTTCAGCCCACAAATCCACAGAACTGTCAGACGATGAGGACTGTCTGCCTATGCCAAATATATCTGTGGATATATCTGTAGCTATACACATTGAGCCAGCCCCACATATATATATATATATAGATTGGGGGGGACTCCAACTTATGCAACAATTTCGGAGCGGAAATTGCTTTAGCACCTTCTCCCTGCGCCAAGGTGTATCCTGCCAAATATATATGGCATAGTGTGTGGTATGCGGGTGTGTCTCGTCCCGAGTCCTAGGTCTGGCTGCCGCTCTGCCGGTATGAGTGTGAGTGTGGGTAAGGGTCTGGTCCTGGCTTCGGCAGGTTCGCCTTTTTGGCACATACTTCAATAGCAAGTTGAATTTCATTCGATTCGTGGGTCGCTTCTCGTCTCGTCGTCACTCGTTTAGCTTGGCAACTTTTTTGGCACACCAGGAACACTTTGACAGTTTGTCTGCCTGTCTGCACACTCGCTGCCAAATAATTTGAAGTTGGGTTTGGGTTTTCGGCTTGGGCTTGGGCTTGTGCTTCGGCTTTGGCTTGGGCTTGGATTTACTTTCGGGAATGAGCGGTAACCCCAAAAAACGTCATCGCTATGGGTTTTACGGATTTTGAAATTTATTTGCCACTGAAATTGACTCGAAAGTTTCAGCTTCCCCTTTCCTTTCTTCTTCAGCTCCAGCATTGTTTGCATCAGAGAGTGTATGTTCGTGTGTGTGGATGGATGGATGGATGCTGAAAAGTTATTTCTATAAGCTGTTCCTTTTGTTTTGGGGCCGGAGTGTAATTTGAATTTAAGATTTTCTGTGGCAACGAAAGGTGCCAGCAACTCTTTCCCTTATTTATCTTTGGTCGCTTTGGTTAGCCACCTTTATCCTTCTGCATCCTTTCAATAATTAATTTAACTGTAACATGTTTGAAGCAGTGAGGAGGGAGTCTGGTGTTTTACTTCCCAAAGTTCCCAATTACTTGTGCCGAGCTTCATCAGTGATTCATAGTTTTAACTTTAAATTAAGATGTTGATTTCATGGGATAGAGGAGTCCCAGAGGTCAGTTGTTTATATTTTGTGGGCCGAGGGAGCCCCTGTGTTAATTTGCCAAGTTTTGCAGGACCAGGACGAAGATGATGGGCCATCATGATGAGCGGCAGCAGCCAGGAGCAAGCCCCATCTGTGCCAGATGGCTCATAATTGGATGCCTGGCCCAGATTTCTGGAGGTGAACGGAGAGCAACTTGATGTGCAAATTGCGGCCAAGTCCCGACTGGTCTTTGGCTTCTCTTGTTGTTTGAAGACGGAGCCTTTTGTAGCTTTATCTATTTCTGCCCCTCACCCGGTAATCAACTGGTCTAATGTGTCTGGCATAATTGTTGGTGGGTGAATTTGTTTAGGAAGGAAGGAAGGGGTTAAGTTTTGATTGGTAGTTGAATTAACAAAGACCAAGTGGCCTCCGGGGACGAAATATGAAGCCTTCCACAATACATGTTGATTGTTTGAGTTTTATGTTTGCCCAAGGCTCGTATGTTTATAAATACATACATACCTATGTGAACAGTTCAGAGTTGAAAGTTATAGTATTAGTTAGTTGGAGATCTTTTATCGTTATCTCTAGCATTTAATCCAATGAGGTATACCCTGAATCCAAATTACCCGGCACTTCCTTTCACTTAGAGCCGTAGACACTCGCTTTTCATCTCACACACTCACAGCGAACTAAATTGATACATTAACTACCTTGATCCGGCTATTATCCGACTGCGTGTCCCACCAGCTTCCTCTGGCGTCCCGCAAACTGAAAACTATTCTCAAAATGTTGAGAATGTTCGCCATGTAAATGTAAATCACTTCCGCTCCACTCTGGATGCTCGACTCTCTTCTACGTATTCCTTGCTCCCGTCTCCTGTTTCTCGACTCCTGCCTCCCTGGCTCCCTGGTTGGTGGTATCTCCTAGCTCTTGGCATCCAAAGTGGTTGCAACCCAGTGGCAACTGCGACTGCCAACATGGTGATAAATCATCAACTGCTTAAGCGGTGTCTCCCCGCCAGGATTCACCTGCTGCTGTTGCTCCGGTTGCTGTTGCTTCTCGGATCCTTGCTGCTGCAACTCACGTTCCAGCGCTTTAAGGCATTTAGCTGGATGACATATTTTAAATGCCCTGCCAGCCCAAACAACACAAATCAAAGGAAGCACACCCTACCAGAAGCTGGAGGAGGAGGAGGTGGATGTCGAGGACGTCGGTGACGTCGGGGCAGGAGCTGCATCTCCGTCTGTGTTTGCGCATAGATCATAATCATTCATAATCAGCGTGCACATAAATAACAAATTAAAAGCGCTTCACTAATTTTAAATATGCTCGAACATAATCAGCTTATAGTGAGCTATTGCGAGGGCGACAAGGATGAGCGGCTGTGGCAGGAGTAGGACACGAGCAGGAGCAGGACGATTACCGAGAGATGGGGGCTGTTGATGATGCTTTCGCCACTGTTGATGATACTCCTGCTTCTGTCCTTGTTCCTACCCCTGCCACTGATCCTGCTGCTGTTCCTTGTACTGCCACTGCTTCTGCTGCCAGTCAAGATAGCAATGACAACCTAACGAGCTGTTCTCCTTTTTGGCCGAGTGTGTCTGCGCGTGTTTGTGTTCACAGGAGTGTGTGTGTTTTTGGCTGAAATTTGCATGCTCTTCAAAAGGATTTATTGGTTGTAGAACAAAGATGAGAATAGGGCTTTATATTATGAGTATGAAATATATAAAATATTATTAAATAACTAGGTTTACTTTAATAATTTTTAATCATTGTTTTCTTAAGGATATTGTATAAATGTATGCCCATAAAGCAAAAAAGAGTATTTAAAATACCATGTGGCTTTGAAAAATGTTTGAAGATTTCTATTTTTTCTTATTTTTTTCACTTTTTTGACTGGCTTTTACTTCATTTAAAACGCATTTATAACGCAGGGCGGCGAAAAAAGAAACTCATCAGCCGGCGGAGACACCCACACATACACACCGCTAATGCAGAGCTCATATATGTATACAAATTTTCTTTTTAGCTTTTCATGTTTGTACTTTGGTCCGCCCACAACCCCCCCACCCATTCCTTTTCCCCCCGCTCTTCTCACCTTTTTTTCCCCATCGCCTTTGTGGCGTCTGCTTCACTCACTTTGCCCATACAATTTTTCTTACAATTTTCTTTCATTTTTTTGTTGTCCTTGTTCCTGTTGTTGTTGTTGCTGTTGCTCCTGGTCCTGTGCTCCTTTTTGGCCTGACCCCATCGCCCTCCATACCCCCTACTATTTCACGTTTTTTCGTGGCTGCTCATGCTTTTCCATTTTCGTGATACTAACCATCTCCCGCTAATTTTCTCTCCGTTTCTCCCTATCTGGCAGATTGTGCGACCGGTGAACGCGTTCCTCATTGTTGATGTACAAAATGATTTTATAAGTGGTTCCTTGGATATAAGTAATTGCAGTGCACAGCAGCAAGGACACGAGGTGAGCTCCGGAGTCACAAATAGAGTGTGGGTGGCTACACCGCAGGGAAATCGTTGGTTTCTATAAAGGACTTTGCTTTCAAAAATATCCTAAAAAGAGGTCCCGAAATTAATATTTTTTAAATGCTTTTAATAGTATTTTTTCTTTAAAAATGTTTTAAAATTAACTTATTGGTAAAATGTCACTTTAAAAGTTAACCAAATATTTTTCGGTGCACCAGAATTGGCAGCGACGTGGCCAGCAGCTTAGCCTTGGGTTTAAGCTGAGACAGGTGAGGTAAGCGCCGACGACGGAAGAACATAAAAAAATAAAACGTAACAAGAAATGAAAATGAAGGGCCAGGGCCAGGATGAGAGCCAAAGTCATTGCCGCTCCAGATGATGATGGGGATAAGGCGGTCGGTCGGTCCTAGGGGGTGCTGTGGGAGCTCTCTGCATGTCAGACCTCAATAACAGATACTGTGGCTTGGCCCAAGAGAGAGAGAGTGGAGGAGGAGGGTAGAGAGGGAGACTGCAGGGGCGGAAGCGGATATGCTTTACTTAAGTCGCATCCGCGTTGCGACACACGCCGGAAGTCGTCGAGATCTCTCGCTCTCGTTCTGGCCCACTCCGACTTACTCACACCCACTTCCTTTCTTACCTCCCAATGACTCCAACTCCGGCATCTGCTTTAGCTTCAGCGCAGCATTTCCATCTGGCAACTGACATGACTCTTTGGCTGGTACATGAAAATTTGTCAAAATTAATAACACGCACTTCCGTCTGCTCTTCGTCGACGTTGTCGTCGCTTTATGGACTCTCGACTCTCAACTTGATTTTGTCGACGTGATGGGAATGGGATGATGGCATAACCCCCTAATGACCACCGCCACATTAACTCTCTTCCCCAGATACTGGAGCCTATCAACAAGCTGCTGGATACTGTGGACTTTGATGCCGTCTTTTATTCATTGGACTGGCATCCCAGCGATCATGTTTCATTTATTGATAATGTCAAAATGCGTCCCATGGACGAGTCCTCGGCGGTAAGACATCGATTGTAATTGAACGGAAGTGTCGGGCACTTAACGAGCTTCCGCTTTTCCTCAGTTGGATTCGGATTCCGCCCAAGTCTTCGACACGGTTATCTTTGCCGGTCCGCCGCCGATGAAGCAGCGTCTATGGCCCCGCCATTGCGTCCAGGATTCCTGGGGTGCTGAGCTGCACAAGGACCTCAAGGTGGTGGATCACGGCATCAAGGTGTACAAGGGAACCAATCCGGAGGTAGACTCGTATTCGGTGTTTTGGGACAACAAGAAGTTGTCGGATACCACACTGAATGCTCAGCTGAAGATGAAGGGCGCCACGGACATTTACGTGTGCGGTCTGGCCTATGATGTGTGTGTGGGTGCCACGGCTGTGGATGCGCTGTCCGCCGGATATCGGACCATACTCATTGACGACTGCTGCCGAGGTACGGATTTCCATGACATTGAGCACACAAAGGAGAAGGTAGTTACCAGTGACGGAGTCATAGTTCATACCGCAGATGTAAGTACTATATAGCTTTTATCAGAACTGATTTTGAGCCAGGCTATAATCAATCTTTTCAGGTCAAGGCCATGGCCGAAGGTCGAGATCGCCGTCCCGAGTTGGGCTACAAACTGGCCATGGAGCTGAAGAGTCCCGACTCGGTTCTTTCGCAACGCAACGGCTTCAGACCCACATATTAAATTCCACGGAGTACTTAAAAACAACATCACGCTAGGCTTATTTTCATGGTGAAAAAAGACAAACGGCTTTCATATAGCTTATGTTTAGAGCGATTCAATTAATCTAGTTTAGAGCGAACACCTGTGAAGTGCCTTGTAGTTGGGCCAGCTTTTGCTAAAAACATTCTAGAATTGGTAAACTCTTTTTTAAGCCTGTTATCCATGTGGATTTTACATGACATTAAAGTACTTAAAAACTCGAAACCCTAAACTTAAAGTGCAACACTCTTGCCCCATACAATAAACCATACCCAAATGAAAACCAGGTTTAAGTATTACGAAGCTCTCTGTAACCCAAGCAAGCACCTTTAAATATAATTCCAAAAGTAAACAAAACAAAAGGTTCTTAATGTTGTGCTCTGCACCTGTTTTAATCGATATTATATACAAAATATATATGTAGAGAAACTAATTTATTTTGAAAAGGACATTGCTTAAGTAAGGAATATTGTGTGTACTTGAAAAAAAAAGTTGAATTGGAAATAAATGAATGAATTTGAACTATTTATGGGTAAAAGGATTGAACTCTAAAGGACACTCAGAAGTGGCTGTATTGATGGATATTTGTCTTTGGCAAAGCAATAAAAAGTGCTTCGGGTTATCCCAGATACAAGTCCACTTTCAAATGGATGAATATATGGATGCATGTTCTCTTTAAACAAAGTGCCAGTTTAAAAGCAAAAACTTCAAAACAAACCGTATAAATGTCCTGGCCGAAAGTGTGGCACAGACTGTTAAACGTTTTTCTCTTCTCCAATTGTTGTTTTTTTTCCAGTTTTTGTTTTTCAGAGTTTTCAGCAGAGGAACAGCACTAGGAAAAGCTGAAATAACAAGCCATGCAGCGTTTAAAGAAAGTTTTCTGTTTTATGTGTCTGTTTTTGTTGCTCTCTCCTTTCAAATGCGTCTGTCTCTTTTTCTCAGTCACAAGTCCTTTTTTTCTATATCCTTCTCAGCAATTTTTGGTGTTTTTTTATTGTGTTTAAAGAGATGAAATGAGAAGAGGAGAAAGTTCTCAGCAACGTTGTCGGCTGTTACTTTGCGACCAGGCGTCTAAAACCAACTTTAAATTTATTAACACCCGGCTACTGAGCACAGTGGCGAAGTGGGCGTGGCTGCATTGTGCCGAGAATAAAGTGCAAACTTTTTATTTTTCACATTTCAGCATATTTTCCCATTTGCCAAATGGCCAGGCAAGCCCCCTCAGCGTGCGTGTGTGTGAGCTTCGGGTCCAGCCGGCTTGGTCTGGCCAAGTTTTATGGTAAGCACTCCCCTCCCAGAATCCGCAGCCCCGTGTGGTTTCCCCATCCCATGCCGTCCCTTCAATTCCACCAAAAACGGGCAAGCACTGGCTTTTGGTCTTTTATTTGGATCGGGAACAGAGCCTCAAATCGTTTACCTTTTGTGGCGTCGTCTGCCATAGACAATGAACTTTAGCTCCAGCTCCAGGTCCTAGTCCGAGTTACCCGGCTACTGGATACCAGCTACCAGCTACCATCTACCAGCTACTGGCTTTAGCCTGCGACTCTGAGCCACCAAACTTTTGTTGTCGTGGCGTCGGCTCTGTTGTTGATGCCGCTCTTGTTACACAGAAAACAAATTAATTATTTTTAAATGCTTTTAAGCCATACTATAGATAAGATTAAAACATTTTTAAAATGTAAAAAAAGCACCTATATTTTTGAATAATCCTCTTGAAACCCCATCAGTTTTTTGTTCTCTGCATTATGGTGGTGGTGGCGGCATCGCTTGCGGTCATGCCACTGAAATCCACACGCTGCCAGCTGTCAGCGGCACTGGAAAATGTTCCACCAACACACACACACACTGACACTCATGCATAGGACGAACAAAAAAAAAATGGAAGAATCGCTGATGAAAATTGCTTGCAAGTGGTTTCTGTTTCTGTCTCTGACTCTTCCAGCCCTTTCGCCATGTATTGGTCTCTCGTTTTGCTTGTAAAACTTTTGGATTATTGTCAGGCACACACAGATACACATACAAACACACAGGCTCACACACACACGTGGGCTGGCCATTTGCCAAGAGGCCTGGTCTTGGACACGGACTACGGAACACGGACTACGAAAAACGGGATATGGAATACGGACACGGACACGGCCTGAGACTGGGACTAGGACTGGGACAGGGACAGGGACATGAGATGAGCGCCTAGGTCGCGTTTTGCTCTTAACAGCAAATTCTCGCATATTTTTCTCCTATTTTACCGGTTCTCTTGCACTCTCACTCTACGAGTAACCAACAATCTATCTATCCGCCGCTGCTGCTGCGTAGGCGTCGCCATTTTGTCCATGACCTGGAACTGTAAATGCAACTGCCATAGTTTGTGTATGTGTGAGTGCTCCTCTGAATGTGTGGGTGTGCAACGAATGCAGATGAAGCTGCGAAGCTGCTGAAAATTCGCAGATGTTGCCTGGCTTTTGCTTTCTGCCGGCAACTGCTTGACTTGTAGCTTGTTCTGGGGCGCTAAGCTTGTTGTTAGTGGTTAGCACTGAAGTGGACGCGTGTACGGGATTAGGGGGCTGGAGTACGTGTGCATTGTGGTAGAGGCACCACCTCCGGTTACCCTGGAGATCTTAATCGGTTCAAAAGCTTCCGTTTTGCGCCAGAAAAAGAATAATGTGGTTGCTTGAATCTAAAAACGAGTACATGCTGATGAGTTTATTGAAATAATCATTAGGTATTTAGCCCTAAAAAAAAAACAGAAATAGTGAAAAAATTGAAAAAAAGCAAGAATTGTTTGAAAAACCATTGTAAAATATATACTGTATAAATATGTATTACTCTTAATATTTTCATAGTTATCTGTGCATCTCTAGTAGATAACTATAAACAGCTAAAGCTTTGAAATCCCCAGTCCAAGTTTAGATATCTTCTCCGACTTTGCAGCTGTCTTCGCGGAAGTGCAGTACCCGGGAAACAGCATCTAATAATAAATGTGAAAGCAGCAGAGAAAATAACTAGCAGTCGGAACAACAACAAAAGCCCGGCTTAAATGGGGTGATGAGATTTTAGCAGTTTTTTCGGGGCGGGACTGGAAAATTAGTTTTTCAGCTGGTCCTTATTGAAATTATAATTTATTTATTAGCGGCAGCAACAGCAGGCACGCCAGAGGCGAAGGGACGAAAGCGTGAATAAACTGAAAATGTCAAACCAATTTGCTGCGGAAAATTTCGGTCGCTGATTAGATTGGATGCCATGGCCAAAAGTTTTAATTATGAATATGAAAACTCTCGTGCACTCTTGCTGGCGAAACTGGTTGTAATTAAATTTTTGCACAGGTAAACGAAGTTTTTCCAAAGCGAGACACAAGGGCGTAAAGGGCGTGGAGGGCACGGCTATCAAGCTATGATGTTGTTTTTTTTAGCTTTCATAACTGATTTAGCGGCAAATATGCTGCAGCTGAAGCTGAAGACGCAACCGAATCTCAAGCTGCAGCTGAGTTGTGGGTCGGAAAAGTTTTTCGTGGCGTTGAACGGGTCGTATGCGCAATGTTTTTCCGCCTTTGTGTAAGAGGAAATCCAGGCAGGCAGGAAGTTGTTGTTGCTGCCTTGGCAACTCCTCCGCACTACTGCAATGTTAATTTTAATGCAGTCAAATGAGTTTTGCCATGCTGGCTGGATGGCTCTCTAGCTGACTGACTGAGAGATAGAAAGTTTTCGGCTCCATTTTGTGTGCATTTGTGCAGGATGTGATTATGAGGTTTTCATATTCCAAATGTGAGTAAGTGTGTGTGTGGGAAGACTTACCACATCTGACTGTCCCTTTTCTGGCAAGTGTGTGGCAATAAAATGCTTTACTGATTTGCAAAGTTTTGTCATTAAGCACACTTGCTACTGCCGCCATCACATTGGCCTAAATACAGTTTAGAATTTCACAAATATTTGCCAGGCGAGGCATCTTCTGCCTTCAGACTGTTGGCATTTTATTTATTTATTTATTTGTTGGCTTGCTTGTTGGTTTACTTGATTATTTGTCATTTTCCATGCATGACAGCGTGTGAAAATCTGTCGAAAGTTTAATAGCAAATTCCAAGGAAAGTTATTCGACAAATATTTCTCATCGGCACCTCCGTCAGGGTGCCGTGGTGCAGTGAGTGGCCCTAAAATCAATCACATGAAAATGATTTAATTGTTTGAAAGCCGCGTTTGTCTGCGGTTTAATTGGCAAAGTGAATGCATTGATGGGGAAGGAGATTTCAAAGCTAGTACCTTGCGGGCAAAGTAATGAATCGCCCCTCCCGAATGAATTATAGAAATTGATTTGGCATTATCATCTCATCTGGGATTTCCATTAAGTTTACACAGACAGCTCATAAAAGTAAAACCTAAATACCAAGATATGTGCGTGCTTTTTTGGCAATCAGCCATTATCTCAATGTTTTAAGGAAACGAAAAAATATGGCCATTCCGGACGGTCATAAATAGGCCGGCAAATCGTTCCCCGGGGGCACATGCGTCGTATACGTGATATTTTTTAATTACTTTCAAAAAGCTTTGTTAGGTCTGGATGTGGAAAATTTTCTTTTAATTGCCCCACCAACAAAACATTTGGCGAATGTGCCGACAGTTGTGCCGAAAATTCAATTCAAAAGCGTCCCAAAGCGGAACAATTCCAAACTGAAAACTCTTGCTTCAGCACAGATGGAAATATTCTTTAGCCAAATGAAAATTTAATTAATGCCACCACTAAAAACCAGAAAAACCAGAATCCGCTGGGGTGAAGCGCGGAGTGTAGGAGAACATTTCTAAACTAATATGGAAAATATTTTGTATTTGCAGCAAAACTTTTTCCTCTCCAGCTGCCACCAGAAATGGGGCAAGAGGATGCAAGAAGTTAGATATAGAGATAGAGAGACTGAGGGAGGAAATAGATATATAATCTCGGGAATTTGCCGCATATCGCACACACGAGTCCCATATGTGTATTTTGCATGGAAAATCTTAAATGACATCCAAGCTTGTGGAGATAAAAAACTAATTAAGATAAAGATAAGGTCGTTTGTTAAGTTAATAATTTAAATTATTTTAATAAATAAAACGCAAAGTATTTATTTATGGAATATTCCCATCAAAGTAAATGTGGTAATGAATATTTCATTAAAATGGAATTTTAATATTTCATATTGCATATTTGCAATGTAAATAATATATTTTAAGCTCATTTCAAAGAATGTTTAACTTGTTGAATTACATTCAGAGTAATTAAAGTATTGAATTGTGG